TCAAATGTGAGATTTGTTTCACAGTACATTTTGGCCCCTAATCTGCTGATGGTTTCTGGCAGAGCTTCTTTTGCCCTTCTCTTCTGTACTTCAGACATTGCTTTTATCATTTTCTCAGTCTTTCTTCTGAGCTGGCTGCTGTGCGCTATGTTGCTTTCTAGACATATATGAAGTTTCAGCAATGTAGGAATTATCATAATCAGATGTGCTTCTGATGGTGGTGTTGCAATAGTAATTCTGCTTGCTCCATGTTCCACACAAAAATATCAGTCCTTTCTTTGGACTTACAGCAATCCGTGTCTTGCCACTCCTGTTACAGAGGAGTTAAACCTGAAAATCTCTGGACTCAGGCTTCAGATTTCAAAGCTGCCATCTACCTAATATAAAGATCCTTATATAAAGTGTGAACTGCTCAGCAGATGGAATGGGTATTCTCCAGAGGAAATCCTTGCATTCAATCCCTGGTGTATTCCCCTTGCAAACTCTGTCCACTGCATGGCAGTATTACACCAACAGCACTGTGGCACCAGCCCTGAGGCACGGGGAAAGTTGCCAGAAATTATCCCAGTATCACCCTGGTGGTATCCCTTCTGCTGAGTGGAAGTCTCCTCTTCCCAACGCTGGAATATGCTCAGAGCAGGGCATGTGCTGCAAGATGGATGTTGGGCCTCCCTGTTCCTGTGCAATCCTTGCTTCTCTCTATCAAAACCTGATGGGAGGGTTTGATTTGACATGTTGGGATCTGGCAACAGTGGGATGAGAAAGATGCTCATACTGCCCTAATGTCTCTCTCCTTCTGGGAGAGGAAAGGACCTCTCTTCTCTGCATAGTTTAGGTGCTGGGAGTAAAACCCTTTCCTGTGCTGATCACAGAGCCCATGTCTCTGACAGGGTGGCAGCCAGGCAGACAACTCTGAGTGTGTGCACAATGCTGCTGTTCATCAGTCACACGTTTGGGGATTCTGGAGTGAGGGAATGGGCAGCCATTGCTATTTGGCTATAGAAGGGTTAGGATTTTCTTCCAGTCATTCAAAAACAAAGCAACAAAAAACCCTCCATGTGACAAGAAACATGATAACAAAGGGCAAAAGGCATTTTTTTCAAGTTGTGAACTGGTGGTGGAATTAAACTGTACATCCAAACCTCCTGACTTTGGAAATATTTTGAGGTTGTAATAAGGTTGGTCTCTTCTCCCAGGTAACAAGTGACTGTACAAGAGGAAGTGACCTAAAGTTGTGCCAAGGGAGGTTCAGATCGGACATTAGGAAAGAATTCTTCACAGAAAGGGTAATTGGAATGGAATCCCATATTGGAATGGGCTGCCCAGGGATGTGGTGCAGTCACCATCCTTGGATGTGTTTAAGGAAGGACTGGACATGGACTCAGTGCCATGGTCTTGCTGACACGGTGGTTGGTCATAACAAAACCATAACATGGACTAAGTGGTCTTTTCCTACATAAATAATCCTATGATTCTGTGACTCTGATATGAGGAAAGATTTCTTCACCAACAGGGTTATCAAGCATTGGAACAGAAGTGGCTGGGTTGCCATCCCTGAAAGTATTTAAAAGATGTGCAGATGTGACACTTAGGGACGTGGTTTAGTGGTGGAGTTGGCAGTGCCAGGTTAATGATGCCAGGACCCAATGATCTTAAATGATCTTAAAAATAAAGATGTCTTAAGAGACATCTTAAATGTCTCTTCCAACCTAAGTGATTCCAGGATTCTATGAATTGGTTTGAGCATAAATGTTGTGGCTTCAGTAGGACCATGAGAAGTGTAACAAGTTTGAGCCATTCCTGTTTGATTACCCAGGCTGTCACCTCGCTTTGACAGAACTGATGAGTTAACCAAGAGGAAATCAAACCCTACCCACTCCTGGAGTCCTTGGACCTGCAGAGATAGAGGCCAGAAGTGCCTCTCTAGATGTGCTGCACAGCTCTGCCCTGCTTCTGAGCCATCATACAGCCCAGTGAAAGGAGGAAACATCTGTGTGGTGCAATGCCAGCGCTCCAGCCTCCCTCCTGTCCTGTGTGAGGTTTCAGGCAGCCTATGGAAAATGGTCTGCAGTTCAGCATGGATTTGGGCATCTACAGTTAATCAAAGAAGAAGCCTAATTTTTATTATCTTAAAGCCCTGAACCCTCTGGTTGCTGTTGAGTTAAAAAAAGTCCTGTCTTACCAAAATGGTAATACTTTAAAAAGCAGGTGTTTTATATTTTATTACTTATCAAGATTCTTTATCTGTAGCTACATGTGAAGAGAGACCCATGGAAACAGTACACTTTTGCTAGCACAAGCAGGGAAGAGCTAGAAAGGCAGTACTAAAGCAAAATATAAGGAAAAGTAAGTAAACAGGAGTAAAAGAAGGAAATGGTGATGCTGCAGGTCTCCAGATATTTCTTTTTGCTCTTAGCAATTAAATGGGCAGTGTCTTTTCAAACAGGCTTTCAAAGCATAGTTATACATTAATAAAATGAACTGTAGACCTTCCACTGCTCAAACAGCCAAGTGAGCAGGAGCAGAGCATGGTTTGTGACCTGGGGCAGCAGTTCTCCCACTGGTTCTTCACTCTTTTCCCCAGTTCAGCCTTGGTGCCTATTGAGAAGCACTTCCCAGGCAAAGCCCAGTTCTGTGGCAGGGTGAGAGTGTGCTGGAGACCATCCCAGTTGGCACTTTGGGTGTGGACACCCTTTTCTGGGGGGAGGAGAATTGAAACCCATGGAAATGATGCAGGTTGCCCTGCTTGGCCCGGCACCAGAGATTTGTTCTTGGCTTGTTCTCAGAGCAACTGTAGCCAGGAGGACAAACAGGAAAAGGGCTTGAAGTACAACCAGAATTTGTTAAATCAATGGATAGGGAAAACTGTAAGTGGCTTGCCATTGGGAAATGAAAACAGAATCCACGAGCCCTGAAGATAAGATCCTGAACCTTAAATTTAATTACAATAATGTTATTTTTTTTTTTTTTTTACTGAGGCTAAAAGCAATATACAAACATTATAGGTTTGGCAGCATTGAAGTTTGTGTCTTCCAGATTCAATATCTGCTATCTGGCTTCTGTGCCAGGTTTACTTCTGGTAATTTCATGAGAAAGATAAGTAATTTAGGCAAGAAGACCCAGCTGCCGTAACAAGTTGGAATACTCATTTCGTTCTGTGGTATTTTGAGTTCACTGCACACAGAGTTGAGCTCACAGCCTTTCTTCAGGTTCAGCTGGTGCTGCTTTTTGACCACAGGCCATGTGCTGGCTCTGAAAAAAAGTCTGCTAAAATAAAAAACTGACTGTTGCAGACCTGGAGCATAAAGTCCATCGCTCTGAAAGAGCAAGTAAATGATGCCACTTTGATGACTTCAAATAATTAGTTTGGTTTTCTACTAATCCTAGAGATAATTCTTTATCACTTGTACAGTTGAAAATGGGGCCTGATTCAATTTTACATCTCAGGTCTGCAGCTCAGCAGAAACCCAAGTGATTTTGTTCTTCAATAAATTCTATTAATCAATATTTTCTACCCTGAAAACCAGTGTGTTAATACCCAGAATCTTGTAGTTATTGATGTGTGTATCCAGAGCTAGATTATTTACTTTTCTTTCCCCAAATTCCATTTTTCCCCAATGCTGAGTCAGGATTAAGGAGTGCATGTGCATGCTTATGTAGCTAGTTCTTTTTAATAAACTCGGTGCTAGAGGTCACATTTACAGGCTCAGTTTATATGGTAATCTTTAAAAACAACCAGCCTAAGCACTGGAAAATGAGTATCAGGGGTTAGTCCCATATTAGCAGAGAAATAAGTTTGGTTTATTAATAGGTCTTTTTTAAGTCTCATTTCCATTCTTTTAGGTTTTCCCCCTACATGGGTGCATGCCAGAGGCGTAATGGAGCGAGAGAAGAAACAAGCCCTTTTTCAGTTCACAGAACCCCAATTCTTTATTAATCACAGCTTGCTCACAATGACATACAGGAAAATAGCACTAATGAAGAGTAGAATATGCAGGCAGCAACCTCTAGGGGGGTAGGGACAACTTCAAAACTGCAGCTATTTTGGGGATGATGTGTTAGGTTTGGTGATACTGTACTTGGCACAAGCACCCTGTCTAGTCATTCCTCCTGCTTCAGCCCTCTTAGTCCTAGATGTCTGTCACTAGGTAGGGTTGGCTAACACTGAAGAGTAAAGTCATGATGAATGGAAGTCAGCAGTGTCATAAAAAAAAAGGTAACAACTGGCTCATGGGTTCCAGGTGAAATATTCGGTAGCCTCTTGTACTATTACACATGTAATGTGGTAGCATCAGATAAGTATCATAGATCATGGCACCTACAGATAAAGCCACTTGATGCTATCTATTAGTTGCTCCATCAATAAATTTTCAAGTGGTGAATTAAGCTCACTTTACAATTAGCATTTGTATGGCTGTTTGGCATCATCCAGAATTTGTCACAGCTTGATGGTTACAATGTGCCTTTTAAATTTGTTGATTTCATTCTGTTGAACAGCTGTTGTTGCCTCTCACTTCAAAAAGCAGGAGCAACAAACACTCTACAAGGAGATTCAACCTCAATTGTAGAGCACAGTCCAGAGTCCTGCAGCATAAGTTGCATTTGAAAACCCCTTTTAAGAGCCTTTTGTCTTGGACAGCTGAACGTGAAGTCACAATACCCGTGATCTAGTCACTGTTTCAAGAAAGCTTATTGATGGCAAAGCAGCCTAGGTTATTAGGCAATGACTGGTCTCTAGCACCATAGAACTACTACTGACCTCATGGTGGGTTGGAATGAGAAGTCGCAGGGAATGGAATTAGACATGAGGTGCTTTGAATGAACAGACCCAGCAAATTCAACCGAGTGGAAATAGACAACATCAGAAGCCTGTTACAGGACATGTAAGATTATGAAATAACTTGCATAATGCAATAATTGTATTTTTTAACAAAAATGTAAGTATTTACAAAATAAGATCCAAGTTTTTTAAACATCAAGCAAATCATTCTGCAAAGAGACCGCATTGTTTTTATTTTATTTTTTGTTTCTTTTTTAAAGTTTTTTATTGAGTTCTTGATTTTTACCTTTTTTTTAAACCACGTCATACATTTCCCATACTTATATCTCATGATCCATAATAATATAGGCAGGGGGAGTTTACTAATGGTGGGGATGGGTCACATCCACCATTGCTGTTTTCAGCCAGACAGTTCCACCTGGAGCTCCTTGTTTCTACGGACCTCTGCAGCATGCCTCTCCTGGAAAACATCAAGAAGGGAAAAATCAAACCTTTTTCTCATTCCACCTGCCTAGGGAGACTCATGCTGATAACCTGTTTAGGTCATGCATTGATGCTTGTGCAAAACTTGTTTCACAGCACAACCATCTTTAGAAGAAGCAGCACGGGAGAAGTGCCAGCTGGAAGCATGTTTTGTCCTTACTTTCTACTCCTGCTCTGGAGCTCAGTCTTTTATCTGATATGGCCTTATAATCCTCAGCACTTCATGGAGTTTCATTTAAAAGGGCCACATAGAGAAGTGTTGCTTGCAGCATATAATGTGCCACGTGCTCACATTTACCCTTTGAATTCTTGGATATTAAACTAAATATAGGGAAGGATGAGTGAGGAATTAATTGCCTGCACATTGTATGTTACTTACTCTTCTGCAGCACTTAGGAACTATAATAAAGATCCAAGAACTTAGTTGCCATAAGCCAATCTGAATGTCTCAAACATCTCCTTAATCTGAGCACTGGAGCTACATGTCCTCTTGATTCTTTCTCTGTGTCTGCCAAAGAATACCATCTATTGCACTGATTGAACCTGTACATCAGTCCTTGAAAAATCTGTAACACTGAATGCCTTTTATTTGTTGCTTGGTGTTCCTATTAACTGCAGTATACAGAAGTTACCTCTGCAGTAGCTGCTAGACACCAGTACCTTGGGGCACCCACAGCCCTGTGGAACTTTGGAAGACTTGGAACCAGTTACCTCACTTCTTTTTCTGTATATTAAGGATTCACTTTTGATGTTGGCAAATTATGTCTGTTTTTGATGTTTTGGTGTTGGCAAAATTATATTTTTTAATTACTGGTCAGTGCAAATGTTTCCAAGTGAGTTACTGTCATCTTTCTTCATAAGTCTTTCTTGGGTTTCATGCATATATGCCAACACATTTCTGTGGAAACAGGGTTTAACAGTCTGTTAACATTAACATAGGACAGAGAGATGCGTCAGCTGTCCTTCCCGCTTCCTTTTGGACCTCAAGGACAACCAATTTGTTTTTCCCTTTGTTTTCATAAGGTCTGGGCATGTGCCTGCAAAGGAAACTAAATGCAAAAATGTCAAGCAATATGGCTATAGTTCTTAAGCTCAAGAATTATCCTGTTTACATTTTTACTTGTAACATCATCCTTTGACTCTGTTTCTTTCCTACTCTCAAAGACTTTTGTCTCCATCAAAGATGTAGAGGTGCTTTTGAAGATCTCCTGGAAAACTTCTGAGGGCTGTTTTCTTTAGCCAATTTACTAGTATATTAAAAACTTCAATACTGAGAGAAACAAGTGATCACTCATGCAGAACTAATTATTTTTTTCTTAACATTTTTAAATCTTTATTTGCATGTTTCTCTCCCTTGTGTGGAACATGTTTTTGGAAAAGGGCATACCTCACTCTGCATCTAGGGTTTGTGATTCCCTGTTTCCTCTGGCTGCATCAAAGATCTCCATAGGAAAATTTACTATCTTCCTTGCAAGACTCGTGGAAAGACAGACCTCTTTTGCTGTATATGAAAAGTTTTTTTTCCCATAATTTTTCATCTTTCTCCTCTGGGCAAAAATTAAAACCCATGAGGTTTCCTCTGAACATCAGGGAACACTTTTTCATTGTGAGGTGACTGAGCACTGGCACAGGTTGCCCAGCGTGGAATTGGAGTCTTCATCCTTGGAGACATTAAAAAGCCACCTGGATATGGTCCTGGGCAACTGGTTCTAGGTGGCCCTGCTTGAGCCTGGGCCTGGACCAAATGATCTCCAGAGGGCCCTTCCAACCTCAACTATCCCGTGATTGCGTGACTGTAGCACTTCAGTCCTTTTTCAAAGGGAGTGGGGGTTTAGACAGGTATCCCGGACTTAAAAATAGCTCAAGTGTAGCAACTGAAATAAGGACTATGCACAACATCTCTGCAAACATTGATTCTTCTCTCTAGTCTAAGGTAAGGAGTGATGGTGTGGTTACCTTCTCTTGGAGGCGTTCAATAAGAGCAGCTAAATTAGCTTCACGGTTTTCTTTGATCTGTTCCATTTTCAGTATCAGCTTTTCTTCTGCCATTTTGCTGAAGTTATTGTTCTCCTCCAAAGCTTTTTGAAGCACTTCTCGCTCATGTTCTCTCTTCTCTGCCAGATGTTTCAGCACCTGGGCCTCCTGGGACTGGAAAAAGAGATGCAGCTGAGAGGAAATACTCATGTGGAGCAAAGCATGTTGCCATGTTGCCAGGGAGCACAGTATGTTGCCATAGGGCAAGAGTTCCCTGAGTGTGGAAACTGTGTAAAGTTTGCTTCTCTTTTTTAGAATGGTCACTTTGTGAGTGAACCAGGTTAGCCTCAATAAAACAGTGTTTGGAAGCAGTGGATAAATGTGGGGTACACGCCTGAGGCAGCAGCAGAGAGAGTCCAAGGCACTTCTGTTAACAAGAAATGCTCTTGTGCTGCTGCCCTGGCTGGCCTGGATTACTGCAGTGGTTGCTCAACCCCTGACAGCTGCAGTCTCTCAGTTATAGGCCTTTTATCTTTAGAGATAGGGACCTGGCGTTGAAGAAATGTACAGAGTTAAAAGGGAGATTACTGATGCAGGACAGGTGCAATTTTCACCCAGGTTATACTCTTCTTTCATGAGCTTGAATAGTTAGCAACTGGCTTGGAAGTTTATTGACATGAAAGACAGGTAGCATCAATTCAGACAATGTTTTTTACCCATTGCACTTATATTTAGATTAATCTCACTGATTAGGAAGGGAGAAAAAGTGTTTTATTGCATAGGAAATAACAAAAATTTTTAGTTCAAAGTTTTTATTTTTCAAGGAAGATAAAAACTATGAGTAGGAATTAAACAGATCCAGTCTATGCAGTCTATGCTTAATATTGTGTTCTTCCTTGTTGAATTGTGTCACTTCTCAGAAGCGTAAGGTATGTTATTTATATTACATCAAATTTCTAACAGGAAACCACTAATCCTAGGAAAGAAGCCAAAAGACTTGCAGCATTGGGGCCATTCTCCAGTCAAATCTAGTTGAAATGACAATTATTTGGAAAAGATAAACAACATCATGCACTTTTGGATAAAATAAATAAGAGGCAGCATGAGAAGAAACAGAAAAACAGAGAATGAAATAGGGTGCCAGGAGGCTAAATGCATATTTGAGTGCTGATCCCAAGGCACTGTTGCCATTGTGACCCTTAAAAATGAGTTAGTTTAAGGCCTAAATTAGTTTTAACCATTAATTACAATTAGTGGTAATGAAACATTTTAAATTCTATCATGTGGCTTTAAATGGACTGAAAAAGGCTGCAATTCTTTTGTATGAGGAAGACCCCACTAGGAGAAAACAAATATTTTAATGAAAGCAAGATATGCATAAAGCCAAATGCAGTGACAAGGCAAATTAAGCAGATGCTAGAAAAGGCTGCAAAGGCCAGGCAGAACATCTTGCAGCAAGATGTTGGAGTAAAACACATCTGGCTTGGAAAGGTTGTGATGGCTTGCTTGAGATCATAGGAGAGAGCCACTTCCATCCATCCTTATCACTTATTGCCTTTCACCTCTGGCCTGGAGGCAGGTACAGCCTCATTTCTCAAACTGATCCCTGGAGCACTTGCTGGTAGGAATGATCTCCTGGAAAGGCTGGCACTTCCCAGCGACTCTTCCTGGTTCTTCCCTCCCTTACAGCATATGCTGAACAGAGTAATAGAGCAAACACTTTTCATGTCTTTGCCCCTGTTGTGCCAGATAAAGAATGTTGCAAATGGGAACAAAACCCCTTAGACAGATGAAGCCAAAAGCAGGGCGAGTTTCACTGGTGGAATATAGAAGGATGAGCCAAAGACAAGTGGAGCTGGGTAAAGAAGGAATTTTGTATAGCAATTAAAAAAAATCATAAAAGCCCCATAAATTTAGTAAAAATGTCAACATTTTTAATAATAATATAATAAAAGTATCTTATTTTGAAACAAAATATTTGATTTCAGATACTTAGTATTTAACAGTTCTTAACTGTAGATTATTTTACGATGTAAAAAAGTTATTTAAAAAGATATGATGCAATGTAAAACTGAAATAATGAAATACTTTCATCTCTTTTTCCCACTTGTGGACAAACCTGAGTGGCTCAGTTTGACCAGTGATTATGAAATTATTCTGAATTTTGTTTTTAATTTACTATTCAATGACAATCTCTCGTCTACCTTTGGAAAAGTTATGATCATTACATTTTGTTTGCTGATATGAATTTTGTGAACTCTTTGCTTAAATTATGTAAAAGTAATGGATAATCTGAGAACCCATTTCTCTTCCTGTTGAGAGTTTCAATAGAAAATACACTATTAGACTAATTGTAATGTCCTTTCCCATGAAACATTTCAGAAGAGACTTGTTAATTTGAAAGGCTAACATTTCATGGTGTTTAAATATGCATATATAATGTGTTATAAAATCAGATCTTTTGGATTTGGAAAACAATTTTCAAGGACATAGCCATGCACTAATAAAAAGTAAGATTTGGACTATGCATATAAGAAGCATTTGCTTTCAATGGAGGTTGTGAAATGCCTTTGAGACTTTGAGGCACCTGCCCATTTTTCGAGATTTGTTTTCTTTCATTCAAGCCCTTTGCCTTCTGGAAAGACTTTATCATAAATCCTGGAGAACAGTGGAAAATTAGAGCTTCATATCAAAGTACACACATTTCTGGATGCTGTGCTGGCAGACAGTACATTCAAAAGTAATTTGTCTTCTAATTCATGATAATGAAGAAAATCCTTATACTCTAATTCAGTATTTATTGGATGCAAACTGTGTTGGCACCAGAAAGACACTGCTTGAAAGCTGAAACAGTCCTCAGGAGCTGACTGTAAACCCCTAATGCGATTTTCCTTTTCAATATGTCTTTAATCCCATATTGTAACAAATTTTGAGAGAGGAAAATCACTGGTACCCAGGACTGCTTCAAAATAAAGGAACCCCCCTCCCTGCCACAAAACATCCACAGGGCAGAGTCTCATTTAGACTGATGTCCCTTCTCTAATGGTGGTGTAGCCCAGCTGTCAGTCTGCCTGTTTCCCTGGTGTTCAGACCATTCTGAAATCCCCTTATGAGAATTCTGGAAGGCGGCTGCTATGTGTTTGTACTGGATTGTCAAATGATTTTCTGTTTCCAACCCATTTGGCAGCAGAACTTGGCCACCCTGTCTGTTCAAAGTCTACTGCACATCCAGAAATGGGTAAATGAATGACCATGGATACCCAGGGGAGCTGGGATTAATAGACTTCCTTTGTTGTTTGCCTTGGCTTTTAAATGGCTCTGTTTGGACACACACAGTTCCAGTGATGCAGGATTCCAACATACATAGGAAGTTTTTATTTTGAGTTTATTTTCAATGCTGTTTGAAGTGCTGCAAAGGATATTTTCAAATCTTTGATAGTTCTAACATAGCTGTAAACCTCTTATGGTAAGTGTTTCTTATACAGATGTAGTGAGAAAATGAAAAGAAAACAAAGCTGTAAATGAGATGAAAGATAAAGAGATTAATAAGGAGAGAAAAATATGAAATGATGGAAAATCAAAAAGCAGTATTCAAGGGAGAATATTCAGAAGACTTCTTAAATATAACAGGGCATAAACAATGCAGCTCCAGCTGCAGCATCTAATGTTACATCATAGAATCAAAGAACCATAGACTGTCTTGGATTGGAATGGACCTTAAAGATCATCCAGTTCCAAGTCCCTGCCATAGGCAGGTACATCTTCCACTAGACCAGGTTGTGCAAAGCCCAATCCAACCTGATGTGGGACACTTGGAGGGATGGGGCACCCACAGCTTCTCTGAGCAACCTGTCTCGCTTTCTCACCACCCACACATTAAAGAACTTTCTCCTACCATCTAATCTAAATCTCCCCTCTTTTAGTTTAAAACCATTCTTCCTTGTTCTATCACTGTCTGCACTTGGAAAAAATCACTTTCCCTCCATTTAAAAAGCCCCCTGAAGGTACTGAAAGGCCTCAAAATAATGTGGGAACACCAAAATGTTTATCTGTTAATATTTAAATATGTAAATATGGAGGAATAAAATTATTGGAGAATATTCCTGGTACAGATGGCTTTGCTCCAAGAAACATACTGATATGCTAAAAATGCAGGCAAACTCCTGTGATGTTCATGTCATATTTTTAAGGGACCATGTGCATCTTCATTTTTCAGAGATGAGTGGTGTGAAAGGAAATCCACACCTGTTACCTAGCTGGCCAGAGATAGATGCAGACTACTAAACACTCATGTCATGAGCAAAATTAGTTATGGAAACTGGCTTTAGAGATACAGTGTTTAATTATTACTCACAGGAAGAAGATTCTCCTTATCTGAGCAAGAGGTGCTTTATTTTCTCACATCTATCTATCTATCTATCTATCTATCTATCTATCTATCTATCTATCTATCTATCTTTGTTTGACAGATATAGCCAAATATTGAAGTAATTGATATGGAGAGAAAAGTAATCCTTTATTGCTCTTAAACAAGAAATGGGTTCAGAAAACTGCTTTTAAGCTGGGAATTTCAGCTTGAATGCATTCAACCTCAGACACCAGTACCCCTTGTTACTAGGGTGTCTGAGACACACTACCAGTCATGAGTGCTCCTCTTTTACAATACATTTGTTCACTGATTGGGGGTTTTTTTAACAATATAGTTGTTCAGAAGAAGTGCAATAGCATTGGTATTCTTTAATATACTTCAATATTCAATATACTTTATATATTCTTCAATATTCTTCAATATACTTCAATATTCAATATACAATATATGTGTATCTAAGAGATACTGTTAAGGAAGATTGTGAAGAAAAGAGGAAAGGCTCCTACTGAAGTGTAAATGCCAAGGTGAAGCCTGGGTGTGGTGACTTGAAGTACTGATGTTTTCAGGAGAAGGAACTGTGGCTGGGATTTTTCCATGTGAAAACATGGGAATGGATGCAAATTCAACTTATCTCAGAAATACCCACTTGGCAGGAGAGTCAGACAAATGTGATCTGTAACTGGATGAAGCTCTGCTTCTAGTGAAGGTAGTTGATGAACAATTTTGCTTAAATTTAGGTGAGGATCTCTTTTTTAAATTTATTTTTGTACAATCTGCCAAATGACCTTTGGGATGTGGAGTAAAAAAAAAAAAAAAGGTCCATCCATGTTGTGATTCAAGAAAACTCAGTTTCTCTTCCTCAACTGGCACAAAATTGCTGCTCTCGTGGTTGTGACCTGTGAGGGTGAACAAGGCATGTTGGGGGCATGCAAGAGGTGCCACCTGAGCCCTCTGCCTTCATGGTCTGCTGCAGTCTGAGGCCTGGCATTATAATGTTAATGAAGACCAACGTCAAATTGTCTTATGGTTGTTCATTAGTGGCAGAGCCCATGGCAGACTGGGGAGAGAATGTTTGCCAGCACTGCGATGTATGCTCATGGCTCCACGTGCTCTGAGACAGACCCTGGTGCCCAGCACCAAATCCTCTCCTTGCTGGTAGCAAACATCTTCCTACAGCCACACATTCCATAGGCTAATGGGTTTCTTTTTGGATGTGGAACTGCAGTTTCTTGCAGTTTTGTCCATCTTTTGTAAAACTTAGGAGTGAAGCACTGCGTGTAGACTCACCATGGTGTAAATCAAAATGTGACAGGAACATCTGTTTTCAGTGCTGATTACACCTATTGCTGGGACATTTACATAGAAAAATGCTTCATGCTGTATTCCTTCTCCACACAAGCACAGCTGAGGGCCAGCAGCAATAGAAAGGGAGATCGATAAGAAAGGGAAAGACAGGAGACACATGCCTTGGGCACTGCCTATTCTCATTCCCATCCTTCTCACCTTAAAATTTGGTGGGAAACTGTAACAGAAAGGAGATGGAAGAAGAAAGCTCTACCTTTGACAGGGAAGGTGTGCCCTTCTCCACCTGTCACCTGGAGCGTCAGCTTTGCAGGTGCCATGCAATGTCCAGGGAGGAACATTCATCCCCCAGCTCTGCCGCCTTCCCTGCCTTGGCAAAGCCCCATCAGCCTCCTGTAGAGAGCTGTAAAACACGGGCAGCCAAAGCAGAGATGGATTAAGAGTACCCAGAGCCGCCTCTGGGCTGTGGGGCTGGCTCAAAGGGGCAGAGATTTGGATGCTGAAGCCAGCACTGAGAATGGTCCTGATGCTGGCACAGGTGCCCTGGGCTGGCTGCTTCTGTGGGGAGCACAGCGAGCCCAGCCCAGCCCAGGCTGCACCACAGGCTTGTCTTGTGGCATTCTCTTAAAATGGCATTAAAAACCCATGAAACTGTAAGTCTATATCCAACAGCATGAAAGTTAAAAAAATAAATGACTGTTTTCCTGCATTCTTTGTCACACTAAGCTCTAGGGATAAGCTTGATTCAATTTCATCCCAACACAAAGCCATTAAAAGGATTTGATTATATACAGTTTCTCTCCTATAATCCAAAGTCTAGTAGAAATGCACATCCCTTTAGTGTTTCTTTTTTATGCTAGTAAGTAAATTTAACATAGGCAATAAAAATATATAATTTGACATATGCCCCTTGAAGTCTGTACACCACTAGTAATAACAGCTGAACATTCAAGGCCAATGGGCAAAAATAGATAAATGTTAAATATTCTGTAAGAAAAACTTCTGCTGCATACAATGTCACAGTGCTCTAATTTCTCAGCTGAGGATGATGAAAAGATCTTTCTGATTATCCACCAAGGTATGAAAATATAGCACATATGTTCCAAAAAAAAAAAAAAAAGAAAAAAAAGGATAACAGTGACATGCTGCCAAGATGATTCTATAAATGGAAAGGACAAATCTGTGACTAGCCCTAATGGGCTTTGCTATGTAATGCAAAAAGCAAAAAAAATGCGTCAGGTAGAGAAAAAGGGGGAGAAAAAGAAAGAGGAGTCCTCTAAAAGCTTACAAGGAAATAAACAAGAATGAAAAACTGGAAAAAGCATAAGCAGGAGACTGTAAGTGCATGTATTGCTCTAGATGTTCTCATGAGTTTGAAAATTTATTAATGAACACTGCCTAATTAACAGAGCAGAACCTAATTCCTAAGCTGTATAAAATTCATTAGCAATTTTTCTTTAAAGAAGTCAATTCTCGTCCATTAGTTATACAGGATTTTAATTAGAACTGCACTGGAAGGACATGATCTAGAATGGCCATGCCTGACATAGACTGAAAAGTATGATAACAGCAGCCATGCTGGCTTTCATAAAAAGTCTGTCTGGCTCATCTAGCAGCAGAAAGTGGAAGAAGATGCTGAGGGAAACTAGATGAGGTTGAGCAAGCCTCTCTAAATTTCATCAGTTAGCAAGTTCCATATTTTTTGAGTCACAAGTTCCATTCACATAATAATTTTCTATAAGGAAGTGCTCTATTAATTTTGCTATTATATTTTTGACATAAATAATATTTTAATAACCTCTAAACAGTCTGTGATAACAAATATACCTTGAATAAACAATACATGGAAACATGATTTCTTTTTGAAATTGCTGTGTGATGATTTCTTTGAATGTTTTGTCCCCTTTGGATTGTGTGAAATGAAATATAATTGTTCCTATTCGTCTTCTCATTACCATTCATGACTTTGTAGACTTCTATTTTATCTTTCATCTGTTGTCTCTTTCCAAGCTGAAAAGTGGATTTATCTTCTTATGGAAGATTTTCTGTTCCTCTAATTGCTTTTTTATCCTTCTCTGCACTACGCTCTTTTTTGGGGCCAAAATGAAATCAATAATTGAGATGTGAGAACACCGGGGATTTTAACAGTGATGCAAAGAAACATTTTGCTCTGTTCTTTGTTCTTTCCCCAGAAATTTCTGCTGCAATGCTTATGTGGAGGATCTTGTCTATTAAAATAACTCAGTTATATGTTCATTCAAAATGAATATAGTGTCAAGAAGAAATGGCAGGTGCCTGTATTGCTATCACTGATTACCAATCTATTGCATTATGAGTTTTTCTTTAGGAAGAGCAGTAATGAAATCAATGGAATAAGATCTCTGAAATGTTCAATTTGTATTTTCCACCAAGTATACTAATAATATCAAGTTTTTAAATTGCTGTAATTTCATTCTGTGTCTGTATCTTGGGCATTTGTACTCAGCACAGAGGAACTTCATGGACTGAGTTTTTGGGGAATATCATAACTTGGGTGAGTGAGAGCTCACCCTTCTCAGCAGGTGCTAGTGCAAATGGAAATTCCTTTGATATACAGTCATGTCCTCTGACTGAAATGAATGTTCTGGCAGAAATATTTGTTTGAAAGAAGTGATAGTGCTAATGGGTGTGTGCTAGAACCACAGAGTCATTGTTAGCTAGTTAGCAAGCCAGCAAAAAGGACAAAAGTAGCAACACTGCAGTTCTCATCTAGATGAATTGCTCAAATTAGTGAGGCTTGGAATAGTCAGGTTTCACTGCAAATCCAGACTGAGTGCCAGGTTTTAAAGACCTGTCAGTAATCCAGATCTACTGACTTCAGCAGACACATAACAAACCACTCACCAGAGTAATCATTCCCTTGAGGTTCTTGGCAGTGATCCTGATCTGGTCTGACAGGAATGAAAGAGAATGGAATTCTTTCCCTGGATCTGATCCATGTGCTATCTGTGATATAGATGCCGTCCCTGAACTTCTGTATATGTTTTTGATGACATCAGGAAAAGCTCTGCTCTCAGCAGTTTTATCAAGAAATCACATTGTTTAAAATAAATAGATAAATAAATAAATAGATTTAAAAAATAGATAAATAAAAAGCTTAAGAGACATATAAGCTTGTTTCATTTTCAGAAACCCTCTACCAGGGACTCCATGGGCAGGTATAAGGAGTTTCTAATGCTTATTTAACTGTGCAAGCTGATTTGCCACAAAATAACATTGATCTCCTGGGTGATGGACACATAAAATCCTAAAATCCTAGAGCTTCTGTGGATCTCCTTTTGTGTGTCAGAAAAAAGAAACATGAATTAACCAGGACAATATATTACCAATTTTGATTTTTTCTGTGGTCATTGCAGCCAGTCATGACTTTTCTGAAATGGTGCAACACCGCATAAATGCTGTGTGTACATAGAACACTGATGATTTCCAGACTGGCAATTCAGGCTGGCTATGGTGAGTGTCATCTTCTGGCTTATCTGATCTGGAGTTTGTCTTCTACTCTTTGTAAAAAGTAAAAAAGAAAAGCAACCCAATTTAGCACTGACTTAGAAAAAATGAAGGCCTCTTCGGCACATCAGTTATGATGAAAGCCAAATAAGCAGTTAATGGGTATTTCCAGCTGCCTTTGTGCCAGCCTTTGTGAAAAAGGTGTAACAACTCTTCCAAATGGTATGTGACAAACTTAGTGATTATGAAACAGAGCTTTACCATTATGGGCAGGATCATAAAGAGGGGAAGACAGTCTGTGGAAAACCCTAGAAGGCCAGTTTCCATCACTTCTGAAACTGCTAGAAATGCCTCTTAGCATCTGCACTATGCTGGTGTCCTCATTCAATTCTGTGTGAATGATCCCAAACTCACTCTGTTCAGAGTGTTTCTCTATATTGCACAAATAAGACATTTTAGCTGCCTTATGCAGACCCTGTGAATAATTTCCACAGACACTACAAGGAGTCAAAATCTGGTATCTCACAGAGCATCTGCTTGAATTGCAGATCTGTCTCTTAGACACAGTAATTGCACTGGTTTTGAGCAACTATTACAGATACCCTGAATGAACCATTTAGTTATGTTCACACAGTAAGCAAGCGCATTTGAACCCACTTGGCCCCTGTCTGAAGCTATGTCTATTTTGTGATGCATGCTTCCCCAGCATTGAAACCAGTGAGGCTTGTTTGCAAGCTTCTGAAAGAAAATGAACTCATTCATTTCTATAAACATATTGATGATTTTTGTCTGTACAGGCTACCATGAGTCAGTGATGGCAATGGAAAACATACAAATGGACAGGAAACTCGACTCCTATTCTATACACTAAATCATGTCTAATTACTAGCATTTTATTTTAAGGAAAGATACCTTTCTCCTCTCCTCTGCAGCCTCCAGCTTTTTCTGGATCTCCTCAAGAGAGAGTTCTTTCTTCTTTGGAGAAGCTAAAGTTCTTGGTGCTTCTGAGACTGGAGATGGCGGCTTTAGGATCAGTTCAAAGGCCTGGCCTGAGGCACGTTTGTTGATTTGTTTCACTTCCATGTCTGCACAATAAGGTGGGAAATTGTAAGTCCTTCAATACACCAGCAGTATGGAGGAGAGAAGCAGCACCGATATCAGAGTAGGATCAGAAGCACAGACAAATGATTTAGCATTTTTGCCTTGGGCGTTTTAAATGCAATGGCAGATTATGGGCAGAAAACTGTTCTCGGGAGTACATTCCATTTTATCTGTAACAGCTTAATTATACCATAATCTCATAAAGATAAAAATTTACAGCAATTCTGGAAGCTTATTGGGGTTCTGTGCCATTTAACACCCCCTGCAAGCAGTGCCCAAGCTGATTAATTTTTTAAGCATGCTTTCATCTTTTCTTCATCTTCTAGGGAATTATGCCAGCTATGAAAGCTGTAATTCTCAAACAGTGAGCAGGGAAAGAACAGCTCAGTATGAGAGGGCTAACATTAAAAGTTTAGTTAGATCCTATTAGGAACAATATCCAGCATCAGGGTACTGCACACTCCATAGAAAGTAATACCCCAAACCAGCAATTGTTAAGTCAGTAAAATATATACCAACTAAAACTATGGACTAGGGGGTGATGGGTGATGTGAGTGGTTTCCCAGCACTAGCACATTTTCTGACCTGCAGGATGATTTCCAGCAAGCATCACTCACCATCATATTTATAGATGTTCATGTTGCGAGGTTCCGGGTAGAAACAGGAGCAGATCAGCGAGAGCATGGACAGCTCCTTCATCTTTTCCTTGTAAGCTGAAAGGAGAGATCTTGTTAGCATACTTCACTTCCCCAGCTCCTCCTTAGTGAATCTCTAGCTGAGATGAGTGGCTGGGGACCAGAAAGACTACTCCATCACCCACCTGGCAGACTTCTCTAGAATATTTACTTTACTTATTTATTTACTTATTTTATTTCTTCTCAACATTGAACCTTTATCAAATCATAAACGAGATCCTCAGAACTGCAGAGATGGCTTCTGGTCCTCTACATGACCTCAGCCTTGGGCATAATGCGGGCACTCCTCTCTGGTTTACAGAAAGTGAATCTGGCTACCAGGAAATGCATTTAGCATTGGAAGAGTGCCATGACTCCACTCTCCCCTGGCAGGTGGAGAGACACAAAGCTCTTACAGTTTCTCTGACATATCCAAATGCAGTTGAGAACAGCTATGAAAAGCTGGCCATATATTGCCATAGGCAGATGCTAAAGACATTATTTTACAAATGAAAATGTCATCCAGGAAATTAAAAATAAAAACAGAAATGAGGATACATTTATCAAATCATTTGTATAATGTCCTTAATATGCTTAACTACCTGAAATTAAGCTTTTCCTTCCTCACTTAGTGGCCAAAATATGTGGCTTTCACACTCAGGGCTAGCCTATATTAGCTGATGTAACTAATACCCTTGTAATTTACCTTTATGGTGCTATCTTTGCTGACTTTATAATGCCTGTAGGCCCCAGTCATGAACTGAGGAGGCACTGGTCTAAAAATGCTGATACCAATACATCATCATTATGCAGTCTGCTGTGCACACCCTTCCTAACTACTTGTAAGTAAGAAAAAGTCTTGTACTTGGTGCCTTGGCAAGCCAATGACACAGCCCAGATTAGAGGTGGTTCTCCTGGGCCCTGGGGCAGTACCCTGCCCACTGCCCACTCTCCACAATGCAAAGATGTTAAGGCAGGGTGCTTCAAAATTCATCTTGGCACACACAAACCCCTGCTATTATCAGTATCTACAGAGGCAGATACCCATTTGCTGCCAGCATGTGAAAATGTGGCTTAAAATATGTGTGACTCAAAGTATTGTACTTAATAGATCAGACCAAATTAACCCTTGTTGTTGCTAAAGGAAAATCAGATGGTCCTTTGTTCTTCAAACTGTGGATACATATGAAATTCTCAATCAGCCTCTGTCATGGATGCTCTTGTGGTTTTGATTTTGCTTTTCCTACTGAGAAAGAAACCTGTCATTGATGAGGGCTTGAGAGCCTTTGGGTGCTGCTCGGAATGGTGGTAATTGAATAATCCATGGTTCAAGAAAAAATTTCCAGCTGCCAGTAAAGAGTTAGTTAATTTAATTAAGCTCTGCACAAGGGCCTCTAATCTTGTACCTTTAATAACTCACTTAAAGGAGATATAGCTTTTCAGAAACCATTGGTAAAGGACAGGATTTGAGGTTAAGAGTGTACTGAAGACTTTGCTTTCTGTGAACTTAGGCTGTCACAGAAGCTTGGTCTTGATACAATTTTGGTTTGAAACCTAAGTACCAACTTGCAAAGAATAACTCAAAAATCTTCTGAAGAGAAAAATCATGTCCATCTGATGTATTTTGAATTATGAATAATGATAAACATAATAAATTGTTCACTTAGACCTCCATCCAACAAGCACACAGGTGTGGTTTTCCAGGCTTTTCTCTGAGGAGGGCTTGCCCAGCCAGCTGCTCATACCACTGGAGTTGTGTCATTCCCAGCAGCAAGGTTGGGGAGTGGGTGCACATCAAACCCTGGCACATTGCTAAACATAGAGAAAATGGACACTGGGCTGTGTGTTAAAGACATGGCCATTGATGATACAAACAGAATCTTGTACAAGATCTGCTGAATCACAGCTAAAATATATACCTTGAAATATCTTTGTAGAAAAAGGCATATAAAACAGCATCCTAGGAATTTTGCCTTTTGGAGCCTTTGTTAATATTTTTTATCTTTGCTTGACATATGTTCTTCTTCCTGACAGCACTTAAAATGATTAGAGAAGGGTGTGTTTATTTCCCAGCTTGTTTATTTCCCATCTGCAAAGCACAGCAGGAGAAAGGTAAGAACATGCTCAGCTCTCTTTCCTTCCGTGCAATAGCTTCACTGAAAGCATGCTGGCAAAATCATTGTTTTAGTTCATTCTGGCCACTGGCAGAATTAGGATGACTTTCCATCCTTCACAAGAATGACTTGAGGGTGTCAAAGGACCAGAAGAGGCACACACGTCCTCTGGTGTCCACCATCAGCATCATGATGACGTCCCCCTTGATCAGGCTCAGCTCTGAGTAGCAGGAGCCCTGCTTTGTTCAGCTCTCCTTTCCTTAAACATTTCCTTAAAACATATTCAAAAAGTGAAGGCAGTAATGTTAGTCCAGTTGGTGGTCTGATTAAAGTGGCTGGCCCATGTCACACAGGTTAGGGAGGTAACTTTACTTTCCCAAACCCCAAGGGTTAGTGTTTTAGCAATGGGAGCCTGTTATCTCGAGAAGCTTTTCTGTTAAGAGGGCAGCACACACTGACCAGACAACCAAGAGCAGAGCATTTGTGCAATCTGCACAGGACCTCTTGTGCAGCCCAAAAGAGGCACAAAAATTACCTGCCTCAAAGTGGAGCTTTTCAAAACCCTTGAGGAAAAGCAGTGATTGCAACAAAGTTTATTTTCCAAATGTGTTTCCACTGGCTTGCTAATGATATCCCTCCTTGTGCAGTCATGTAGGCTACATATCATTCCATTAACTGTGCAAGTTAAATGAAGGAGAGTAAATGATGGTAATCGTAATACTACAAAAGCTTTGATAGGGAAATCGCTAGGCAAGAACAATGTTGACAAAAGATGGCAACAGAATCTTTTTAGTTATATGTATCAAGATCTAAATGTTTATATACACTAAGAACACTGATTTTTTGCTAAAACCAGAAGAGAATTCAGTATTAGTATTTCTTATAGTTTTGCTGTGAACATACTAATATTCATAGGTCTCAAATTCTGGAACTGTGTGATTATTCCAGAACCTCATCTACCTTTTGAGAATAAACCCCTTATATTCAGATTTGCAGAGAAAGCCTTAGAAATACTATCAAATACCCCTAAATCTTTAACAGCTTCAGAAAAGAATGAACTCAGACGGCTTTGAAACTCAAGAATGCATGATTTGTTTTTTCTGAAGAAGTCTCAAATGTACCTTAATGTTATTGTTTTCAGCCAACCTCACCTTTCCCTCAACCTTCTCGTTTTATTTTCAACAGCTGTATTTAGAAACTGTGAAAGTATTCCTTCTGTGGAGTGCACATCCATGCTCCTCCTCTGTGGGCTCTACTTGCTGGTCCAGGTAAGATCTTCAGGGGCCATTTAGGGGCTCCAGTTCTACAACTGCATGAGCAAGAAGGTAAGGACAGTGGGACTGGACCTCTGGAGGAAAACAATTCAAAGGATTTCTTTCCCATGTTGTATAATTTTTGGGATCTTTTCTTTAGGCTAGTCTGGTCCCATGGTCTGAATGACCATTAGAGCCTGGGGCATACTAGATATACTGCTAATAAACAACTTCCAGTTTCAACACCTATCAGCTAAACTTGTTTGTGCTCCCAGATTGCCCTGCTGTGTGAATGAAAGCGTGGTCAGCTGGGGTGCCTTGATGATCCTCTTTGAAAATGCTCTACTGATCTCAAATAATATGTTTATTCAGATATGTCCTATATTCCTCTGCTAATGACAGAAAAGTAGCTCATTGCCAGTCCTGCAGCTCACTTGCCCAACAAATGAGGCTGCTAAGGCAGATTGCTATGGCTGCCATTAGAAGTCAGCAACCACTTATTTACTGCTGGGAGAAATAGGAAGGTTAAGGAAAGCACTTCTAAACCCTTCCTGTCTGCTCTCCTCTGTTATCCAATAGCTATTAGGAATTTTTTATGGTTTACACTGTAAAATGAAAAATCTGTCCTGACTGACGGGCAATTTGGGTCACATTTTGTTCCTTGGCAAAGCACAGCTCAGACAGATTGCTGTGTCACAGCAGACACCATTATTAATAAGCAAGACTATTTTTAACGCGTGAAGGGAGAGAGAAAAGTGTAAATGTTACTTATAATTAGCACCTGATGAAGGCAAATGTGTTGATTATTTTTGCCTTACTGAATCAAGTCCACATAAGAAATGTACTTTATACACACATTAATATGTATATATATTAATCACATACATTAATACGTATACATTACATATATTAATTTGTAATGCTACTTGTGTAATTACTTGGGTAATATGTAAAGTACCACTTGCCAGCTAGTTCTTGAAGTTCTGCACCTGGAAGGAAAAGGAAACTGGCACATTACCCATGGTCAGAATGTGCAACACATAACATAGCTCAGCCCTGTGCTCCCTTGCCAGAAACCTGTGTGACAGCTGTCTTTCTGAGACTGAGCTGAAATTCTGCTTAATTTTCTCCTCTGGAAGACACTGAAGCATTAAGATGTAAGATTAAACTTGAAACACAGGTAGAGAAGACCTATCCTTCATATGGATTTCTGATGGATGTTATTGACAATGTGTTTTTTTTTACAAATATTATTTTGGTAATGCTCCCTCTGGGGTGCTAGAGCTTTTGGTTTGTCAAGGCAATGCTTTACGTCATATAGTTTTGGGAACACCGACAGCCACACTCTGTTGACCAATAATTTACAATTTTATTTTACTAATCCATTTTAATAATGTGCTGCATCCTTTTCTGCCAAGCAAGATGATGTTATATAATCCCAGCTGTGCTGTTTCCCCATAGCTGGTGGGGTATTTGGAGAAAGTTAAAGGATGAGTGTTGCTAAAGTGGTGGGCTACTACTGGGACAAGCACATGGGACTGGGAGAATTAAAATTCAAGATGGGGCATGAGTAGTATGGATTCCAGGTATCATTTAGTTTTTGGCATATCTGACATCTATCAGCCTGGGACTCACTTTATTTAATGCTGGCCATTTACCTTATTTACGTTAT